ATATCCTTTTATTCTTTTTTGTTTTTATTTGATCTTGACATTTCTGAAGATTCACCGTCAGGTATTTTGTAAAATGCCCCTCAATTAGTAGAATTTCCCTCATGATTTCTCATGATTAGACTGCAATCACAGGTTTTGGGCAAGATCACCACAGAGGTGAAGTGCCCTTCACATAGAATCATGTCAGGGAACATGAGATGCTGCTGAACCCTTGATGACTGGGTTAAGGTGGTACCTGCTGGGTTTCTCCACTGTAGAGTTACTATTTGTCTCTCTCCTTATTCTGTTCTTTGGAAGTGAGTCACTAAGTCTGGCCCACTCTCAAGCAGAGGGAAATTAAGCTCCACCTACTACTGGAGGGAGAAATATCCACATATATTATTCAGGATTCTTCTGTAAAGAAGATTTACCCCTTTTTCCCCATTTGTTTATTTATTCAGTCAATTACATCAGCATGGACTCATGGATATTTATTCTGTTTTTTGAGTTATAATCTAATATGATCATTATCTATTCAGTTGCTCAAATTGCTCCAGCTTTCACCACAAGAAGGTCTTTAAGGTTGGCCCCCGTGTCCTTTTGATATGTCTCATCCTTTTCTTTTTTTTTTTCCTTGAATAGTTCCTTGCTTTCTGACTCATTGATATTGAGGTATCACTGATTCTAGGCCCTTATAACCAACTCTAGTATGCAGTTTTAGAATTGCTAACCAGCACCCCTGTGTTAAACAAATTTACTAACCAGAGTACAGTGTTTATGTACAGTTCTTTTTGTCTTTAGCTTACAGTTTTCAGTCACAAAGCTGTTTTGCAGTTACTTAGAACAGCTCTTTTTCTCGTTATGCCCTTCAGTGAGATTGTCATACATTTTTTACAGTTAGATTCATGTGTCATAGTCTACCTCATTCTATCCTGAGAACTCCTGACACCTTGATTGATTTTATTTTTTGTTTGTTCACCCAGTACAGGTATCAATAAGTGCAAAGAGTCATTAGAAGATAGATTGCAAAGAGCTTTTTTTTTGAGAACTGTCATGTGCCTCCATCCCTGTCCTCAAGGGGAAGTGGATGAGTGATGCTACTCCTAAGCCAGATGGGAAGGGGCTCATGGAAAACTCAGAGAGCTCAGGGAACCCCATGGGTTCAGGTCTGAGCCACTCTGAGAAGGTGGGTAAGTGGTTTCAGAAGCAGAGTAGAGGGCTGCAGTCAGGGGTTAACAGCCTCCATGGCATTTGTCAGGGGAAAGGATGCATGAGGGCTCCCTGAGGTCTAGATGTGGGCCACATGAATCCCTGCACGGAGTTGCTGTTAATTGTGTCTAAGACAGCCATGTGGAAGGCTGCAGGGACCTTAGCAGAAGAAAGTTGGAGGTGGCTGCTCAATGCCTCAGGACTGAGGAAGTCCTCCCAAATGGCCAGCCAGCACAGAGATGCATGAGACCGTGCGAAGGGTACTGCCTCTGAGAGAGCCCCACAGAACGCAGGAAGTGCCCATGAGAGAAAGAGCTTGCTGGAACAG